CTCCTCGCCCTGCCTTTTCGTATCGTGTCGCAGATCGAGTCGAGGAGCTTGATGTCCACGGTAGCAGTTGTGGAGAGCCGTGGCGCGGTGCGTGTAGAGGGGTCGATCAAGAGCTCCTTTTCGAAACGCGACGGGTACGGCTTGACAACTGCCAGTACAGTTTTACGCCGGCCAGCGTGAGAGCACAACAGGGAGCCGGCGACCCGTACGCTTTGCACGTGGCGACCGGTGGCTGTCTGGAGCTCGTGCGAGCTGGTCCGACGCGTGGCCGAGCCGAGAGGACCAGCGAGCGACCACATTTGCGATGAAGCTTGGCGGCCGGCGCCTCGTCGCCAGACGTCACAGCGGCGTGGACGCAGGAGTGTGCGGCGACGAGTACCGGCAAATCCGGCCCGGTGTGGCCGACTACACGGTAAGGCATACGGACCTTGCAGAAAACCTTTTCCTTCTAAGCAGGGCTACACAATGACCCTATAGTGTGTGGGTGTTCCTGGCGAGTTGTGATGAGTAGAATTAGACTAGCCAATACTATTTTGAAGTTCATATATGAAAATACCAACTTGCCTATGTGCACGTCTCCGCCGCGGCGGCCCGGAGGCGGCCCGGCGGAGCGGTCAGAGCAGCACTGCGCGGGCCGGCGATCGACTCTCGACTATAGTACGGGCTCTATTGAATGGCCTCAAGGTGCTCTCTAGGGCTGCCCTATTCCGCTCGCCCGGCTACGTCGCCGGGCTTCGAAGGAAAAGGTTTCGCTCGGCACGGCGTCGGAGAGCAAACTTCGACGTTCGTCCTATAGTGGAAGCTGGACGCACGTAGGCAAGTGGCCCATGACCAGGCGGGCTGCTGCTCAGAATCTGGGCCGTCGGCGCTCGCTCTCGCGCTCTTCATAACGGCGTTGCCCCCTCCCTCCCGCGCCGACGTTGGGCAGCCCGACCACGACAACGTCAGCGCCGCTGGCCTGCAACTCGAGGCGCCTTTGAATGAGCACGAGCCGGTGCGCGGCGGCGGCGCGGGTGATGCAGCCCAAGGTGACGGCGACGGCAGAGGGGGCGGCGCCGGCGGCGGAGGAGGCGGCAGCGGCGGCGATGGCCGCGGGGTCGGCCCGCCCGACTTTGCTGCTGGTGCTGTGGGCATCATCACAGTTCAGCGGCGGTGTGCG